GACGGGCATCACAAATATAAGGTCTGCCTGGGGGCAAAGGACAGAGTTGTTTGCCTGTCTTGGGGTCTCTTTAGTGACTGGCCAAATCCGTTCTGTCCAGAGGGACCGGGACATGGTGCTCAGGTGCCGTTTTATGCATGGATCTGAGTGTCCGTGGCCACGGTGCGCCCTCCCTGAGGCTCCTAGGCCAATATACCTCAGGGCAGCTGTTGTGGGGGGGAGAGGCGACCCACCCCCACCTGGGCAGGCTCTGTGGGACCCCGTACCCATGAGCTCTCCTGCCTAATGCTCCTGGTCCAAGGGCACGGGAGACTCTCTTTTCAGCACTGCCAGCTCTAGCAGGTCTTGCGAGGCTGGGCATGTTCATTAAAGCCCCAGCTCCTGGAGTCACGTGAACGTGCAATAACCCCAGCCTTCATTATGAGGAACCGGTAAGTCTCTGGTCCTTAGGTCTGCAGAGGTAAACGTGACCACATGAACCCTCTGCATCTAATGCTGCTGTATTCACTGAAGACTGGGAAGGGGCAGCGCCCTGCACTGGTATCCATGGTGCAACCCTTAAGCGGAAGGCAGATTAAGGAGGATGGTGCTGATGCAGTCATGCCTCAGTCAGTCTTCCTTTTTTTGATCCAACCCCAGAGGTCTCAGGCTGTGATTTCTTGATCGCCAGCAGCCCCAGAGCTCTTATGGATGGTCCACGGAGAATGGGCTAGTCGCAGGGAGAGGCCTGCGTCCTCCATTTCCAGCTGTCGATTTGCATTGAAAAGCTAAGACTACACGCTGCATTTTTTTTTTCCTCTGAGCAGTCTCTATAGGGGCCCAAGGGATGGAGAGCGATGGTAAACAGGAGGTAGGGGCCCCTGAGATGTGCTGCCTGCTATGGAAAAGACAGCGATCCCCTGAGCCGGTCTGTCATGCTGGATCGAATCTAACCTGGTTTATGGAGGGGCTGTGAGCTGGTGGGGACGCCGAGAGGTGGTTGGGGGTGAGGTGGAGTTAGTCTTGCCACTAACTGGAGGCAAGTCATCTTCTCAATTGGTGTCTCTGTCCCTTCTTGGGTTATATGGTTTGCAAGCTCGTTGGCGCACAAGTTGCATCTGCACCGCACCCAGCACCACTGGCACCAGAGCAGCGATGGTCAACTAGCTCGTTAGGTTGCAAGCTCCTCGTTTGCACTGAACTTCGGGGAGGTGAGGCCTGTTGCTTTCTGTAGTCTCTCTCCTCGGCTTATAAAATAATAGGGGTTGCTCTGCCTGTTCTGCTGCATCGGGCTTAAAATAGCAAGAAGTGACTCAGTGGCGTCTGCCGCTGGGCCTTGCTCGGGCTCCTCCGAGAGGGGCAGACGCGCTGCTCCGGCTAGAGGCCGCGGTGCCTGGGTCCTTGCTCTGTGACCCGCATCTCTGACAAGGCGCTGGAAGAAATATGCTTGGGTAGTTAAACCGGCCCCACGGGAGACATGCTGGGCCTGATGCTTCTCCCCTTCACCAGCACTATTTTATGCAGGTCCCTGCAGCATCACTGGTGCAGGTAGCTTGCAGGAGACAAATCTCCCAAAACAATGAGACCGTGCAATGAGCATTTGGGTAGTGGCGACACTTTCTGAGCACCGGCTTTTGCACACGCAGCTAGGGGCACAAACAGGATGATGCCACCCACTCCTCAGCCATTCAGAAGGGGAAGAGATGTCAAGACAAGTGCTGGAGGGCTGCAGGTTTATTCCCTGGAGAAAACTGCTCTTCCCCGGGTGTGCTGAGGAACGAATAATAGCAGGTGAGTTGAACGCACTTACGCTCCTGTGCGCACACCAACGTACACGGCTACACACGCACGCACATGCCTTGGCTCCTCTTAGAGCTGTCCAAAAAACTCCATCAGCCGCTTTTAGCACTTAGGGTTTTGGCATTAAGATCCGACAGCCCCAAATCGGCGAGAACAAATCCAAACACTGAAAACGAGAGCCGGCAAAAGGCCAGGAGCAAGTTACACGACTCGGTGGCTCTAGCCTCAGCCGTTCGCTTCCCCGCCTCCTGTTCGTGGCTGCGTCAGACACAGGCCCCGATCCTGGGGCCCAGGCCATCACCGGGAGCGGGGAGGGGGTCTGTGTTAGTTGGTTTTTTGGGCCTTCCATTATAATGCTTCTAGGGGCAAATGCACTGTCTGTGTCTGTAAAGCACTGTGCTCGCTGAGAGGCAACAACTCGGGAGCAAGGCAGGGCATAGAGAGCAGACCCCTCCACCAGGCATTTCTCTGGTGTGGGGCATCCCCAGGGGCCCGGGGGAAGCAGGTCTCAGGGACTGTCACCCCCTGCAGCAAACTACAGCAGCCCCCAGGCTGCTGTGATGGGCTCAGGCAGGGGATCAAGGAGCTGTAGCCAGGTCCCTGATGGCTCAGGTGTGCCGCAGCTGTCAGCCTGTGCCGGCTGGTGTCACTCCCTGCACTCCCTTCTGCACCCGTGGCTAGCGTCTTTTCCTAACTCACGCCGGGGAAGTCGTACGTTTGTGAGACTCGAGACCCAGCCAGGCTCAGTCCTGTCCTCATAGCTCTGAGCATGAGCTAAAAGCAGCCCTTGCCTGTCTGTCTGTCCCCAGTGAAATCCTGCCTTCACCTTGACCAGAGGCAGGTGCTGAGTGGCCACGACCTGCTCAGGACACGACGGCGATGTCCAAGACTTAGCGGCGGGGGAACTGTGTAAGTAACATTTCTGTGCTGACGGGGGGAAGGGGATCCCGACAGCTCTCCTCCAAGGATCTGAATGCATTTCTTGATACATTAGGACCCCTCATCTCCACTGGGCCCTAGGCAAGTATCATGGTGCACATGGGGAAACTGAGGCAGGGGTGCGATTTGCTTGCTGAGCTGGGCGTAGAACCGAGGCATCCTCTAGCTGCGAGGTGACGCTGCCTCTCTGGTCTCTGCCACCGGATGTCGAAAGAAAGACGCGTGGCTTTCCTGCCCTGTCACCTGCAGGCCTGTGCAATCTTGTTCAGCTGATGCTCTGCCTGGGGGAGTAGCCTCAAATGTCCGGCTGGTGCTCGGTTTCTCCGGCAGAGGGCCATCTCGCACCAGGGAAATGACCCTCATAAAAAAATGATGCTGGAAAAGATCAATGACACTTTGCTGCTCCCGGCTCTTGCTTTTGGGCGGCCTCTGTTCTAGTGTCCCATCGCTGCCAGGTCACAGCTCAGGCTTGGGAGGGGAGCAACATGTGCGTGGCAGGGTTCGAAGCCCAAAGCAACCCCACGTCAAGAGCACTGGGCCGAGTTGTCCCAGCCTTCCTCCCAGCCAAGCCATGCTCTGCCGCCGTCTTCGCAGAACATCATTGCTGTCAATGGGCTCCCTCCACTCTCCCCGCAACCTCCAGCATCTCTCCCTCCCTTTGAAAGTGCTGCTCATTTCGGGGCTCTGTGCTTGGGAAGATTTGGCAAAGCTAAGAGAGGAAGCAAAGTGAGGGACTCGGGGACAGGGCTCTGCAAATAAATAACATCTTGGTTCTCTGGCCAAACTGAACAGTTAATAAATAAAACCCATACTTTTAGGCCAACCCCCAATGAAAAGGTTTCAGTTTTCTCACAAAACACTGGGGGAGGAGGAGAAATCATTTTGGGTCAAACTGGACCAAAACCAAAATATTTCAGTGTCTTCCTGCTTTATACCCGTTCCACTCAATCTGTGTGTCATCTGCAAATGTATCAGCACTCATTCCACCCCCCTTTTTTCACTTCTAGCTCATGAGAACAGCATGGGATAGCGTCCAGCTGAAATCTGACTTTGCCGTGCGGTGTTTATCTCCCGGCTTGTATCTGCCAGCGAGCTAGGTCTCCGTCCACGTGACGGGTCTGGCACCCTGCTCATTTCTAAGTAGCCTGTCACCTAGGTCAAGGAAAATGTTTTGCAAAAGTCTATGCCGACCAGTCTCATCCAAAAATGAAGCCAGGGACAAGCCACACATCCCAAAAAGAAACATATGCATTGGCAAATTACAGCACCGGGTCATTAAGAAATAATCATGACCATCATTAGTATGGCCCTGTGCTTTATTTCTTCGTCAGCCATATCCCCTGTCAGCTTTCCTGTTACTTTGCCCGAGGCTGATATTTGACTAACCGGCCCAGACACAAGCCCTGCGGCTTGAAGCCTCTGAGACAGGCAGCCAGGAGGTCCAGTGCATCTTCTCCAAATAATACAAGTATTTTGGTCCAGCCTTCTCTGAGAG